CTTTGGGGATTAGCCCTATTTAACGTGGGTGGGAGGGTTAGGCTGTGTTTTGGGCATTATTTTTGTTGTTTAATTTTATGGTCCCTGAGGAAGTCCTTTTCCTGGGACGAAACGAGTAGGACCATATTGTTTTACTATTTTATTTATTTTATAGTCTTAATAAAATCTGCTTAAGTTACTTACTACTCATTGTCCTGGTTGGTTCCTGAATTACAGTGGTGACTACACACCAAAGAAGGGTTCATGGCCCCCACCTACATCAGGGGATCATAGCCCCCCACCTACATCTCTTGTGAGTGCAACCTACCGCAGTGTGTGTGTTTATACTTAATTGTATTATACAATTCTGTTCTGTTTATTTATTTGTTTCTGCATTATATCAGCTGTATCCCAGTCATTTTTTGTATATTATAATTATGAATGTACCGCAAATAATTAATTAAGGATTGACACATTACCTTACATCAAACCACAATGACTTACCCACGCAATATTATTTTTATGCCAAAAGTACACCATAATTCTCTTCTTTTATCTCTGCAGATAATATCAAAAAAAGGCAGCACTAAACATGCATATAATCATGTTTAATTATATGATTTACCGGTATCTCTAAATATAGCAAAACTCCCTCATGAAATTATTATTTTTGTTAGATATAAAGATAAATTCAAACCACACAATGCAATTTGAGATCATCTGAGTTAAAACTGCAAGCACATTAAAACATGACCCAGTTGCTCAGATATTTACTTTTTCTATGAAAAGTGATGCAGTGCATTATTTACCTCTTTGTTCCTTTAAACACCATTCATATTGTTACTTACTCCCCTCTCCTTAGTTGTACTCTACAATAATTCAAAATATACCAAAGGCTTATGTTAGTATAAATCTTACTTTTTGAAGGTGAAGCCTTATATGCAAGGCTTGAAATGAAATGTAGAGACATAAATAATTCATGATTCAATAGAAGGTAATAAAGCATACTTGGGGTCAAGATTGCTATTTCTGAGAACTATTTTTATTTACTTGAAGGTAAATGTAGACATCTGAGAGCAGAAGCAAAGGTTTTGGTGAGAAGTAAATGCAGAAAATTACTTGATGTACACAGAAATTGGTTGCAAGTAGTCAAGAGAAATGCATATCGAAATGGAAGTATATTCCCTGTTAGCATATGGGGAATAATTTAAAATAGGCTGAGAATGTTTTCCAAGATTCTGTTACTTTTTAACATAATCTATACAAAGTTTTTTTTGTAATTTTGCCAGTGGGTTTAAAAACACTGGTTTTAAAGGTGAATGGCTTCACTATAATAGAAAATCCAGTAGCACTAATTATATTTGGCAAGTAACACTAATATTTAATATTAAATCAAAATACATATAAATGCAACATTATCTATTTTTTTTTTTTTTTTTTTTTAAATCTGTTTTTTTTGAGGAAAGTTCGGTAAAGAAAAAGGAGACGTAGAAAGCGAGGCTCGCAGGCCTCCATGTATAACGTTGTGAAATAACATAACATGTATTATACAGCATTCCAGAGTGTTCAACAAGTTATAGTAATATATAGCATTTACGGCTTTACGGTCATGCATAAAAATATTAGCCTAAGACATGGCTAGTGGATATGCGGTATGTAAGAAGGTGGTATGTAGGTGTTTTCCCACTGGTTAGATTTGGGATGGAGCCCAACATGTATCCATTAGTTACACTTCATGCTCTTATCGCGACCTCCTGTGTGATTGTATGTACCGCATTTAGTCATTCAGTGTGGATCCCGTGTTCCTATGCCATGGGTCAGTTAAGTGGGGGGGTAGGTAATTGTAGTATAAAGAGAAATGAAAGAGGGAGAAAGGTTTAGTAGGTTTAGAAGAGTCCGCCCTTGGGCTCCTCTTTTTCTCCTCACCTCGGAGTAGATGAGTGGTCGGTACGTGGTATTCGGGGATTATCTAGTCGTTTTGTGATGGAACGTGTTGCGTGTGTAAGGTACTGTAGCGTAGGTCTCTGTCAGGTACTGTCACCCGTTATAGGCATGTCAGGGGTCTGAACTAGTATGTTGTGTCAGTTCCTTGGTTACCCGTCAGTGTGCAGTGTCCCAGACTGTACCTTGGGATTCCAGGTACGTGTTAACCGTCCATGTGGTTATTTAGTATGGCTATGTATCGCCGTGTTGACGTTCGTTCAGCCCTTGTGTGTCCTGTAAAAAGTCAGCGTTAACAAGGGAGTGTGTGAGTCCTTGTGTTTTGTCTCCCATCGGGGCAAGTCGTCCCACGGGGAGGTCATAGCCAGTGCTAGGAAGGATCTGGGGTCCGCCCACCGGCCCTCCACTCCTCGTGTGCGTGATGTAAGCCCGCTATTTACCCGCTTGGTATGAGAACCAGGGTTGCCACATCTCCGCGTGCCTTGCTGAACGTCCCGCCTGGGATGCCCGTAACGCCTCTGCCGCCTGTATATCTCCAATCCTTTGGAGCCACTCTTCCATAGTGGGGACTTCTGATCTCTTCCAATAGACGGGGATCAAGGATTTGGCTGCGTTCAGTAAATGGCGTAGGATCGATCTCTTGTATCCGGGGATGGATTGCGAGGTGATATGTAGTAGGGCCAGTTCTCGGGACCATTCTGTGTCGTTCCCCAGGATTGCCATTATCTCTGTGTGAATGCGATCCCAGTAGTGCGAGATAGTTCGGCATTCCCACCACAGGTGTAACAAGGTGCCCCTTGCCTCCTGACATCTCCAGCAGGTTGGGGATGCCTCCGGGAAAATCTTCTGTAATACGACTGGGGTCCTGTACCACATGGAGATCAATTTATAGTTGACCTCCTGGTAGTAGGAACTTGAGGAACTTTTATATTGCCATAGCAGAGCTGTTCCCCATTGTGTTGGTGTGATTTGTATCTCTAGTTGTGCTTCCCACCGTCTTTGAAAGGTATTATTGTCCGAGGAGGCTCCTATCAACAAGTGTTGGTAAAGGAGAGATACTGCCTTCTCAAGTGCGGTGCCTCGGCGGCATAGTCCCTCGAACCACGTAAGGTCCCTGTGTAGCAGCTGTTTTTGAGGTAAGGAGTCGTAGTAATGTGTCAATTGGAGGTAGTGTAGGGTTAGTAAGGGCGTCTGTGGTCTGTCAGACAGCAATGAGTTGAGTGGTCGTATGGTTCCTCCTTCCAAAATTGTGCAGAACGGGACATAGTCCCTTTCCCCCAGAAACGCCCAGCTCCCATATGGGAGTCCTCCTCCGATGTCGGGGTTATGGGTAACCGGGAGCATAGGGCTAGGGGTTGGGGAGACCTGTGTCATTCTCCTAGTTGTCTTCCACGTTTTCAATGTCTGTGCTACTGGGTTCCCATCCTCTTCTTTCCCACAGCGACCCGTCCCTTCTCGCCACACATCAGCCTTAAGTTTGGTCCCTGAGTCAGCTCTGTCCAGGGTTACCCATTGTTTCGGGTTTTCGGCTGCGTGCCACTCCAGGATACGCTGCATTGTGGTAGCTTGGTGGTACTTTTTAAAATCCGGGAGTGACAGGCCACCCCTGTATCTGGGTAAGCACAGCGTTTCATATCGTAGTCGGGATCTCTCCCCTCTCCAGACATATCGGATGACCACCGTTTTCAGAGTTGAGAAGAAGGTTGCCGGTAGCGATATTGGGATGGTTTGAAATAGATATAGGATCCGTGGTAGTACGTTCATCTTGAGGACCGCGATCCGTCCGTGCCAGGTGATGTGTGGGTATGCCCAGCGATCAAGGTCTGACGTTAATTGTTGTAACATGGTGGTAAAATTATGTCGATAAACGTCTCGCGGATCGGTAGTGATCCATATTCCTAGGTATTTCATTTTCCCTTCACACCATCGGAATGGAAAAGCAGAGCTCAGTGTGGCATATTCATTCTGTGGGAGGGTGACATTAAGGACCTCACATTTCGTAAGGTTAAGCTTGAATCCTGAGATCCGTCCAAAGCGTTCAAATTCTAGGAGTAGACAGGGCATTGTGATTCGTGGGTTAGATATGAAAAAGAGAAGGTCGTCCGCATAGGCCGCCACCTTATGTTCTGACCCCTTCCAAATAAAACCGTGAATGTCCGGGTTCTGTCTTATAGCCTGTAGAAGCGGTTCCAGGGTCATGGCGAACAAAAGAGGGGATAGGGGGCATCCCTGTCTGGTCCCGTTGTTAATTTCAAAGTTGGCGGTCAGTGCTCCATTCACCCTGACCGCCGCGTGCGGTTTATCGTATAAGGCGGATATCCACGACATCATCTTACATCCCAATCCCATGGCCCTTAGCGTGTGCATCATGTACGACCAGTTGACCCGGTCAAAGGCCTTTTCGGCGTCTGTAGAGAGCAGTAAGAGGGGTTCCCGTGAGGTTCGCGCTCGGTGTTGTATGGAGAAAAGTCGTAGTGTGCTGTCCCGAGCTTCTCTACCTGGGATAAATCCCGTTTGGTCTGCGTGAATTATACTCGGTAGCGCGCGTTGTAGCCTGGTCGCCAGCACTTTCGTAAGGAGTTTTGTGTCCACATTCAGTAAGGAAATCGGTCGGTAGTTGCCGCAATGCTCGGGTTCCTTCCCAGGTTTGAGCAGGACCGCGATTGTAGCTGCTAGTGATTCCATGCCAAATCGTCCTCCTTCCGTGATGGCGTTGAGTGCCTTCGTCAGCCAGGGCAGGAGTAGTGCGGAGAAATGTTTGTAATACCCTGTGGGGAATCCGTCCGGGCCCGGTGCTTTACCCACCTTCGTTGCCTTCAGAGCTGCGGTTAGTTCCTCGGTGCTAATCAGTTCATCTAGCATGGTTGTCGCGTCTGGGTTCACTCGTTTGCAGACATTATCCCGTAGGAAGGCCTGGGTGGGCGTGAGGGCTACAGGTCCCGGCGTTGTCCCATCCAGGGCGGGGAGATTATATAAAGCATGGTAGTATCGGCGAAATTCGTTTGCGATCTCGTCTGGGAAGGAGGTTGATGTCCCAGAGGGGAGGCGGAGTTTGTGTACCCTTGTTCGCGGTGTGTCGCCTTTCAGAAGGCGTGCCAGGAATTTGCCGCCTTTGTTCGCGTGTATATAGAAGAAATTCTTCGAATATTGTAAGGAGCGGTAGTACTTTCGCGTGATGAGGTCTCGGAGTCGTCGTCGGGCATTTAATAGTTCCGTTTGTGTGTCAACGTGTTGAGTCCGTTTGTGTTGGAGTTCCAGCTTTGCGATGGTCTCATAAACTTCTGCCATCTCCCGCATCGCCGCTTTCCTCTTGCGGGAGGCTATCCTAATGAGATTTCCACGAATTACACTTTTGTGTGCTTCCCAGATCGATATAGGCGATATTCCTTCCACATCATTTTCTCTGAAATATAATTCCAGGGCTTGTGTTACTTCCCCTAAAACCTCTGGGTCTTGGAGCAAGGACTCATTCAGTCGCCAGGTCCAACGGGCTGGTTTGAATAGCGGTGATTCCAGTTCAACCATCATCGGGCCATGGTCTGACCAGGTGGCAGGGCCTATAGTAGCTGCCCTAAGTCGTGTCAGGCCCTCCTGTGGGAGCAGTATGTAGTCGATTCGCGAGTAGCGTTGATGAAGTGCCGAGTAGTGGGTGTAGTTCTTGGAGTCCGGGTTAAGCGCTCTCCAGCTGTCCACTAGACCCATCTCGCTCATTGATTTGCGGATCGAGCGAATACTAGAGTGTGGTAGACAGCTACTGCCTGTCGATGTATCCTTCTGGGGGTCTAGTGGGGTGTTAAAGTCGCCTCCTATAATAAGCGCTCCTTCCGAGAATCCTCGTAGCTTATTCAATGTTCCCCTAAGGAATCTTGCCTGGTTTGTGTTGGGCACATAGATCGACACCAATGTGTAGAGTTTATCGGCAATGGTGCCTTTTAGGAAGATAAACCTCCCCTGTGTGTCAATCATCCTGTCCAGTTCCCTGAAGTCTAGGTTAGCGGACAGGACGATGGCAACACCGGCTCTACGTGCCGTGTTGTGGTTGCTAAAGAAATTGTTGGGGTAATATCGGTTCCGTAGTTTTGGTGCACATCCCTCTAGGAAGTGGGTTTCTTGAAGCATAGCTACAGATACTTGCGATTTCCGCAGTTCTCGCAGGAGATGGGTGCGGCGTTCAGGAACGTTCAGACCTCTGCAGTTAAGGGTTAGGACTTGCAACGGGGCATTATGATAAGGTGCTGACATCCCGGCACTCGGCTCAGGGCACGCGGAGAGCCCGGCGCCCGATCCCCCCTCCCTGGGTGGCTATATAGTCCCGGCTAGCCCCCTCCCGTTGGTGTGGCCACTAGGAGTTAGTGGTCTGTGTAGCTGCGGGAGCGGAGGGCCAGTAGAAGCTTTCCCAGTCAAGTGGCGAGATCACTAAGGTAGTGGCGTTGTGTGTAGATTTTGCCCCTCTCACCGTTCCCGTATACCCAGTGTGGTGCGTGAGGTTGTGTAGTCGGCGAGGTGTGGTGCCGGTGTGAGGAGGGCGCGAGATGTGGCTATATTGCGCGCCTGTGTTAGAGCCAAGGACGGACTACTAGGAAAATATGAGTGGTGTCAAGTATAGTGAGTAGGAAAGAATAGAGTAAAAAAATGGGGAAAGTACGATATTCCCCAGATGGAGGTGCCCTGTAGTGGGGGATGGGTAAGTTAAAGAGAATGCACCTCAATGTCACCTCAGTTTTAAGGAGGTGTAAGTCGTGCGACAGCAGGGGTCGCCAGAGGCCACTCCGGTAACCAGACCGGGATGTGGATCTCTGGGGGCTCCGCCGTCCAGAAAAACGCACGACCCTTAGGTGGAGTCAATGGCTCCGCTCCAAACCAGAATGGATATGGAAAATAAGTGTGGTGTCAGAATAATATCCGTGTGTCCCACCCGCCAGCACCATAGCCTAGTGCCATTTGAACCATAGATAGGGCGCCACCCGACAGATGTGGTATAGGATAACTTAAATAGATTAACATTGCAAAATTAGGCGAGCGATAGAACAGCCTGGATGATTATGCGTTTGTTATCAACCTGTATTCTCTCCCCATCTCCCTCCACCCCTGACCTCTCGGCCCCAGCGTGTCCCCCGTGAGTGGTCTGCAACCGTGGAAAACTTACATTTCCCTCCCCGCCCTCCCACAAATAAGAGAAGGTCAGTTGATTATCTGCCCCGGTGGGGCCCCCCCCCTCCCCCATTTCCTCCCGGGTGTCTACCCCTCAATGTTGATTGTGTTAGGAGTCCCGACCTCCCTCTGCGCGGTATGCCGACCCCTCCAGCCACCAGACCGCCCAGTCCCCGGTGTATGCATTCCGGACACGTGAACCAGCCCGTCCGCAGGCCTGGGGGGGTCGGCACGTCCAGCAGTTGTGTCATACAAATGCCACCCTAATATATATATAACAGCTATATGCAATACGTATTATATGTACGATACAATATGTGTAACAGACATCTGGTAGAGGAGGTGAGGTCACTGGGTGAGATATGTGATCTGTTATATATACTGTGGGTGCTGCACAATACCGTGAGTCCAGTGCATAGATCTCCAAGAGAGTTGGTGCTTGTTTGCAGCATCAATGTCTCGCCAACCTGTGCTCCGCAATGCACAGGTGAGTTCCACAGTGTCACAGATGGAGGTTCCCAGCTTAGGGTCGGAAGTAGGGCCCCCCCAGGTAATGCAAAAAGTTCCCCGCATCGACCTCCCCTCCCCAACTGAAGTCCATGGTGATATGTGTCTCCTGGGCTTGAATGGCGGGCAGCCTTCCTCCCAATTTCCCACCCGGTCAAAAGAAGAAACATCACCCGTCACTCCCACCCAAAACTCCGTGGGGGTAGGGGAACGAGAACCTCTCCGTTACTTCTTGTTGGCATTGGGAGGATCCCGAGTGAGGGTGAAGCAGGAGGGTCATCTACGCAGCATTCCACTCCGTGGTTTGGGTTTGAGGGGTTGCAGTTCCAAGTCCAGTGTCCGCGCAGGGCATAGTGCTCCTCTGAGGGGATTAGTCATGGGTAGAGAGTAGATGGCCGAGGGCTTATCTGTTACTCCGGCACCTCCGGGTTGTTACGTCTGCGGGGTGCCGGACCTCTTGGTGGGTTGTCCCCCCGTCTCCGGGGTGCCCGTTGTTGGCGTGGTCCCCCTCCCAGTGGGCTCAGAATCCAGTCTTGAACCGTAATTGGAGGCAGGTCCAGCTCCTCCAGGAATCTTGGGATCTCCTCGGGCCAGCGGACTGATGTCCAGCCATTCTGAGTGCGGGCTAGTAGGGCGAAGGGAAAGCCCCATTTATAAGGTATGTTCCTTTCCTGTAGGGCAGCTGTGATTGGCTTCAGTGCCCTCCTGGCCTCTAGTGTAATCGGGGAGAGGTCATTATACAGGGAGACCGCAGCACCCCTGTAATCCCAGGTTGGGCGTGAGCGGGCTGCTCTCATTATGGCATCCTTGTCCCGGAAGGAGTGAAGGCAGCATATCAGGTCTCGTGGGCCTTCGTCCAGGGACCTGGCGCGAAGGGCTCTATGAGCTCGTTCAAATTTAAGAGTGTGGGGTGCGGCCTCTCCAAGTATCAGGCGGAATAAGCCAAGTAAAATATCCTCAGCATTTTCTGCTTCTCCTCCACTTTCGGGGACCCCACGGACCCTAATATTGCATCTGCGCCCCCTGTTATCTAGGTCCTCGACCGACCTTCTCATTTGCAGGAGCAGCTCACCTTGGCGTGTTAGGGCTGTATCCGTTGCTTGCTGCCTCGTGGCATGGGCTTCGTGGGAGCGTTCCAGGTCCTGGATGCGGCCTGTCTGTGCTGTCACCTCCGCCCTAATTCCCGCCATTTCGGCACGCAGTGCATCCTGTATGGTGGTTGTGAGGACTAGGAGGTCCGTTTTTGTGGCCATGGCTGCAGTCATATTACGGAGTTCTTCGCCTATCCTCTCCAACGCAGCGCCATGCGGTTCCCTGGGGGGCAGGGCTGTCGGCGCCATATTGGATCCACTTGCCTCCCCGCTCGCGTCCGTCTGGGACTGGAGGAATCCGTCCATCGGGCCGTGAGGCTGACCCGTTTGGGGGCCCCTCGGTGTCTGGGGGGTATCCGTGCGTCGGTGGCGCCCCATAGGAGCTGGTAAAAGCTGATTAGCAGGCTATTTAGGTTGCCGGCAGTACGGAGCTCACAGCTCAGGCGTCCATCCCGGTCAGAGCTCAGGCCACGCCCCCCCAACATTATCTATTTAACATCTGATTTGATTTTATTACTAAATAATAAGATCTTTGATAATAAATGATAATATATAGTGAATTGAAGACACGAATCATAATATAGAGAACACATTTGTTTTACCAGTTTGCTATAGATTAATACATTCTTTCCCTAAAGACAAATAGGTTGGTCAGGGAACATGTATGAGTGAAATGTGAATTTTACATTGTGGGTCTCGTGTTTATTTTTTTTAGGCAATCACAGTTACTCAGCCCTTTTTAGGAGACACTCTAACACAATTTATTTGTATTTCAATACATAAAGAATTTTTAATATTATGTTTATGTACACCGTGTGTTTAACAAATGTTTGTTTACAAGGTAAGAAACAAAATAAATGTAGAAATTCATACCGTTGTATTTCGATCTGTTCTAAAAAGTGCTTACATCATTGCTCAGTGTTATAAGTGATACCCTTTATTACCCTTTACTTTCATTCGACATTGTTTCATAATATTTTTTACATTGCTGTTAACTGTATATTAAAGCACATATATTGGATATGCCATCTTCCTTACAGTATGCCTTTCCTGTATTAGACACACCTACTCAGGTTTACAATGTGAAATCTTTAAGCTCATCTCTCACTCTCTACCTCTTGTAGTGTTTTAGTATGACGTATAATTTCCAAATAAGTGTGTAGTATAGTGGACGATCTTCTCTTGTGGCATATCCACAACAAACTACTGACAGCTGACGTAAATAAGTCTGATTATATCATTACTAAGTGATATCAATTAGAAATGATATAATCAATATTAGTCATATCAATTGATATCAGTTAGTAATGATATAATAAATATTATTCATATCAATTGATATCACTTAGTAATGATATAATCAATCTTATTCACTTCACCTGTCAGTAGTTTGTTGTGGATATGGCACAAGAGAGGTTTGTCCACTATAGTACACAATTATTTGGAAATTTCACGTCATACTAAAACATTACAAGAGGCCGAGAGCAGATTTCACATTGTAAGCCTGAGTAGGTGTGTCTAATACAGGGTTTATATGGGCTGTTCAAAATGCTTTCATTTTAAAAAGGCTACATTTTAGCAACTAATTGGCTAGCAGGAAATACTCACTGGCAAAAGAACAGAGGATAAATGGGAGATCTTTAAACAAATTCTACAAAAGTACATTTCTCAACATATACCACTGGAAAAGAAATTCAAAAGAAGCAAATTAAAACCAACATGGCTTAGTACAAGGGTCAGTCAAATGATAAAAGATAAGAAAAGGGCATTCACAACATTTAAATCAGAGGGGTCAATTGCATCCAAAACACATATAAGCATGCCAATAGGGCTTGCAAAAAGGCAGTTAGATGGGATGAACTTAAACCATAGCCAAAGAGAGCAAGTATGTTAATGCCAAAAAGGTTATGAATTAAAATATCAGGCCTATTTAAAAATTGAGATGGGTGAGTCAAGGCAGAAATTCTAAATAATATTTTTTTTACAGTATATAGGGAGGATTAATCTATGGCTGTTGATTTGCAAATCCCTGTTACAAATGCCTATAGCAAACCTGTGGTTAACATTTATTCAGAAATTAAATTAAGTTAATGTAAGCAAACCCCCAGGGCTAGATGGTATTCATCCACACGTGCTTTGGGAGCATAGTGTAGAAATATCCATAACACTGTGTTTTTATTTTTTATTTCAGGATTCTTTTCTTTCAGGAATTGTACCAGAGGATTGTAGAAAATCAG